GGGGGGTTAAGAAGGAAGGAAGAAGTGGGGGGTAAAAAGTATTCAAAGCCTACATTTTATATAACCTAATTCTTTGCAAAAGCCAATCTTGCTTGAAATTTGAAGGCTAAAAATTGAATATTTGCTGGATTTATTTAAAAAGTTCCAGGTCTATCATACTTATTCACCTGAAATCCTTGGCTGTCACTATAAATATAAATCCCCCCGAGCCCGTGAACACTTTATCTACCCGCAAATACGATATATATTATATAAATCTACTGTATCGTATTCAACTCATATAAATTATGAATCTGAGAGATCAATTCTTCATGCACGGACACTTATATTCATCCTGGGAGGTTTCGCTGGAATTCATGAAATCAGTTATTATTATTATTATTATCATTTTTATTATTATTGCGAAAATATCATTATTGTAATTCTTATATTCTTAAATTTCAGCTATTGTGCAAATATTTATCAATATATTAATATTCAGTTTTATTATTTTTATTACAATTATTCTGAAGTATACTGCTGAGCTGTATGAAAATATAAATTTACAGCCCTGGAACCATGATTTTCAAATTTTTCAACAATCATTTATTGGTTTATATTAAAACTACTATATTCACTAACCAACAATTGAAAAAAGGAATTGAATCTTTGCCACAAACTAAAATTTTCTTATCGTTATATCTTCACAACCTAATGTTGTGAACCTTTGATATTTGAGACTTATCTTCTTTGATCTAAGAGATTTCATAGTTTAAAATAACAAAGGGTTACGACATTGGGTTGCAAAGATGTAGGGATTAGAAAATCAGAGTTTGTGACAAAAACTCAGTTCCTTTGTCTGAACCTGGAAAGATCCTGGAGTTTGAACCTAATGAAGATATCAAGAGATCCTGATGTTTGAACCTAATGAAGATATCAAGAGATCCACCCAAAACAAAATATTTTCGACCAGGAATATAATTAGGGCGGGGCCTGCTAAATATTCTTTCACTAGTTTTGAATATGGGTTTAATATGGGTTTCTGCAATGAGGTAGAACGAGTGGAAGAAAGGAGGAGATAGCGGAGTAGGAAAAGTCAACTTTTGGAGTAATCCTGGAAAAATATTATATAGTTTACTGGCTGCCAGAGCATCCCTCTTTCTTATAATAATTATAGATTTTCTATGTTCCTTTAACTTTGTTCTGCATATATATAAATTTAAAATGTAATATTTTGAAGATTTTCTATTTTTACTTCTTGTGGATTTTTGAGAAAGAATTCCTTGGATTTTTTTTTAATTTGACCGGCCTGAAACCTTCTCATGGATCCTATGAGAGGTCATACAAGAGTGTTGGTTCGATTGGTTCAGAATCAAACAAACAGACAAACAAAGATAAACTCGCTAAATATATTTATTTATATTGGAATTATAATGAGTAGAAGTTAGGAGTACATATAGCTGTTTATA